CACGCACGCACGCACGCACGCACGCACGCACGCACGCACGCTCTCTCTGTTTCCAGCTCTCTTTCCCTGACCTTCTCTTTCCCCAGGTTCCCCTGGGGCAGACAGGACTTTTCCTGTCTCTCTCTCTCTTCTGTCCTCTGTCTCTATGTTTCCTTACCTCTTTTCTCTTTCCTTTCCCACCTCCCCTTCCCTTTCTAATAAAACTTCTCACTAAGCTCTGTCTACCTGGCGTATTTGTCCCATGCCCCACCCCTTGTCACCCTCATGAGCCATGGAATCCACACAAGGTTCCCTTCAAGCTTTATCATAACAACTGCTCCATTGTCTGCATGAGCTAGTGTGTGTTTGTTCACTTACCTCTGAGACTCGTCTTAAAACCAAAAAAAAAAAAAAAAAGCCCCAACAGTTTTTGTTTCTTTGGGTTTTTTGGTTGGTTTTTCGAAACAGTTTATCTCTGTGTAGCCTTGGCTGTCCTACAAGTTGGTCTGTAGACCAGGCTGACCAGAAACTCCCAGAGATCTGTCTGCCTCTGGAATGCTGAGATTAAAGGCCTGCACCACAACCAGCAGGCCCCAACAAAGTTTTAAAGTTTGAGAGTTCGAGTCTTAATGTCAGTGGCTCACCCCTTTAATCCCAGCACTGTGGGAGGCTGCAGCACTCCCACATAAATTTCTGTGAGTTCAAGTCCAGTCTGAACCAGACAAGCAAGGGCTACACATTGACACCCTGCCTCAAAAAAAAAAAGGCTTTATTTATTTTTAAATATTAATTTGTGTGTGTGTGTGTGTGTGTGTGTAAGTGGAATGTATGGAGGTCAGAGAACAGGTTCTCCCCTTCTACCATGTGGTCCTAAGAATCAAATACAAGACATGCTTGGTTGGCAGCAATCTCCTTTATCTGCTAAACCATCTCACTGGCCTCTGCATTAACATTTTAAAAGGAAAACACTCATTACTTAAACAGTAGACCTTTAGAACCTCATCTTGAAGAAATTAGAAAACATTTTTCAGATAAAAGGATACAAAATATATGTAGCAAAATAAGCCACCAATACTTGTACATAAAAGGTGTCCTTATATTTGGAGAGAACTTTTCCTAGAGCTTTGGCATCATCCATATCTCTTGGAACCTTCATATTCACTCTTTCTTCTCTAAAGAAATAAAAATGATAATGTAAAAATTTTCAGAAACCAGAATTCTATGATAAAAATCAAAGTCAAATTCAAAACATGGAGTTTTAAACCAAAATGATACAATGCAATTGATCTGTAATAGGACAAATTCACATTTTTTAGATTTAACAGTCTATAAACACACACATTAAAGTTCAAAATGATACAAACCAAAGATTAAAAATATTTCTTTCAATATTGGCTTTAATTTTAATTTAAATATTAATGAGTTATAGGTATTAACATACTAAAAACATATTTGCAGGGCAGTGGTGGTACATGCCTTTAATCCCAGCACTCGGGAGGCAGGGGCAGGCAAATCACTGAGAGTTCTAGGCTAGCCTGATCTACAGAAGAGTTCCAGGACAGAGAAACCCTGTCTTGAAAAAAAAGAAAAAAAGAAGTGAAAACTTAACCTTCTATATCTCCTCTCTGAGACAGGGTTTCATCATGTAAGCTTGGTTGGCCTAGCATTCCCTACACAGACCAGGCTGGCCTTAAACCCCCAGATAAAAATTTTATGAGTAAAAAAAAAAAAAAAATCATTCACTTCTAAACAAGGCAGCTAATAGTAAGGAAAATAGCAAGGGAAAAGTAAAAACCCAGGGGAGGTGGAACACAATTGTAATATCAGCTACTAGATAATCCCAATTAGTGTGTAGGCTGAGGCAGGAGTTTTAAGACAGTCTGGATTTCATTGGAAGACAATGTCTCAAAAAAAATGGAGTAAGTAGGATGCAGTATGCAGTAGTGCATGCCTTTAATCTCAGTACTAGGAGGCAGAGGCAGACACATTAAGAGTCTAGTTTGGTCAACATAGTAAATTCCAGGGCAGCCAGATTACAAAGTAAGACCCTGTCTCAGAAAAAAAAGTTAAATAAACTGGGAAGTGGTACCATACACCTTTAATCCCAGGATTCCAGAAGCTGAGGCAGGTGGATCTCTACGAGTTTAAGGTCAGCCTGGTCTACTTAGTGAGCTCCAGGACAGCCAGGGCTATATAGTGAGACCCTATTTATAAAAAATAAATAATAAATAAAATAATAAAATTAAAGACATCTTTGAATTTAATATACTTTTATGTTGTTTCCATTGCAGGGCAATGACAGAAAGCTATTTTCTTTTTTGTTTTTGAAGCTCAACCTAATCTAGGGCTTATGGATCTACTGATGTTCCTGCTTCAGACTAAAGAGCTGCTCGATGGGATTACAGATGTATACTACCACACCTGGCTAAATGCTACCTTTCTTTCTTTCTTTTTCCCAAGACAGAGTTTCTCTGTAGCTTTGGAGCCTGTCCTGGAACTCACTTTGTAGACCAGGCTAACCAGGCTGGCCTTGAACTCACAGAGACTCACCTGTTTCTGCCTCCTGAGTGCTGAGATTAAAGGCATGCACAGCCACCACCGCCTAGCTGCATGCTACCTTTCTTAAGTACTATAAAAAAAAACTTAAATTACTAAAATGGCTTCTTGCTGATAAAATTTAAATCTACTCTACAGAAGTGTGAAGCATACACATGTACACAAATACATAGAAAAACAGTAGACTAGAAATAGTAGACATTATTTTCTACTAGTATGTAATTACTCAGATTGGAAGCAAAAAATTACCTTAAATCAGCTCTTTATTTCCTATTCCAGTATCAAAAGCTACAAAGGATCTAAACTTAAACTCATGTCAGGAGGCAAAGACAGGAGGACCTCTATAGTTCTAGACCAGCTTAGTGTTTATCATGAGTAGTAGCCTCATTCCTGAATGAGGGCTACATAGATGAATGGATGGATGCATATATACATACATACCCTGTCTCAAAAAAAAGTTAACATTTGCTTAATAGACAGGCAGAAGACTCTCCTTTGAAAAGCCCACATGGGAAAAAAAAAAAAAAAAAAAAAGAAAAAAAAAGAAAAGAAAAGTCCACATGGGTGTGTTAACTTTCTTTCTGAGAGGCTCTATTAATCCAGTGTGTAAGATCTGTTTAAAATGTCTTTAATAAAAACTTCAATTCTGCTTCAAAAACTTATATACATACATACATTCTCATCTCACACACAGAAAATTTTAAAATATACATTGAAAAAGAAATCACATACATAGAGTCATAATATAAAAATCTCCTCACTAGCCAGGCAGTGATGGTCCCAGTTATGATCTTTAGTCCCAGCACTCGGGAGGCAGAGGCAGGTGGATCTCTGTGAGTTCAAGCACAGAGCAAGCTCCAGGACAGCCAGGAATCATGATCAGAAAAACACTGTCTCAAAAAAGAAAACAACAACAACAAAAAGAACTTGACTCAAAAAAATATACAAATTAGCCAGACAGTGGTTATTTACACCTTTAATCCCAGCACTGGGGAGGCAGAGGCCAGGATCTCTGAGGTTGTGGCCAGCCTGATACAGAGTGAGTTCCAGGACAGCCAAGGCATTACATGGAAACCCTGTCTCAAAAGAAAAAACAAAACAAAACACATTTGCACACACACAAATTAATAAAACGTCTTCTAGCAATCACGTTTGAAAAAAAAAAAAAAAAACTTGAAAGCCTTTCACAGAAAAGAAATCAAGAGTCAAGGAAGGTAATTTTCTAGCTTGAGAAATCATTGATAACCCTTGGATGTAGACTATTACCCTGTTCTTTGTAGACCATTTTGTCCTGGAACTCAGAGATCTACCTACTTCAACCTCTGTCCCTGGAGTGTTGGGGTTAAACACACACTTGTGTCACCACACTTATCCTACCCTTTTCTTAATAAATTCTAGTTTTGTTTCATTTAAAGAAAGAAACATGGAAGGAAGGGGGGGCATATCTCTGTTGGTAGACTACTTGCTTAACCTACAAGAAACCCTGGATGAAAATTTGGGATGGTGGCACATGCCTATAACTCAGACTAGGGAGGTGGTCAAGCTTTGTGAAAACAGGGAGTTTAAACCAAACCAAAGAGATAAGAGATCTGTCTAGTGGGGGCGTTGGTGGCACACGCCTTTAATCCCAGCATTTGTGAGGTAGAGGCAGGCCGATCTCTATAAGTTCAAGGCCAGCCTGGTCTACAGAGCGAGTGCCACGATAGGCTCCAAAGCTACACAGAGAAACCCTGTCTCGAAAAACCAACAACAACAACAACAAAAAAGAGAGATCTGTTTAAAAAACAAAAGGGCAGGAAGGTGGAAAATATGATGTAACAGTGCTCATAGACTTCTATAATCCATGAGAGGTGGTATTCAAGTACGGTTATAGTAGTGTTGCTAAAGGAAATTTAGCTTTTAATTCACTTCATCTCTAAAATATATAGACATTTTTAGTTTCTCTTGTTGTATACTTACTCACTAAGCTGTGGAAAATTTTTATATACCAAAAACATAACAGAAGCTGCACATAAGAAAATGGACACCAGTATAAGGAGTGACATTCTTGCTGACCCAGCTTCTGCACATGGTTTGTCTGAAAGAAGAAAAAAAAAGTATAATTAAAATAAAACATATTTCAAGCTAACTAATAACGTCCTCAGATCCTTTCCTCCCCAAAACTGTTCATACTTTTGCCAAAAACCCTGACATTAAACTAATTACTTCAATTGCTGTAAGAACCACTCATTGGCCATCTCCCAGCATTCAGGAGGCAGAATCATAGAAGTATCTTTGAATTGAAGGACAATTTCATCTATAAAGTTCTAGGACAGCCCGGGCTACAGAGTGAGGACTCATCTCAAAAGAAAAAAAAAAAAAAAATAGAGGAAGACACCTCACACTGACCTCTGGCCCCCACATGCATCCCCCCACACAAATGTGTACATATATATATAAATACACACATAAATAGATTACAAGTCAGGTCAAACATGTAAGCCCAACTTTCAGAAGGAAGAATTGCTCAAAGTCTAAGGTCAGTCTGGGATACACAGTGCAATTATGGCTAGTCTGGGATAGATAACAAGACCTCTGCCTCAAGAATCAATAGCTATGGGACTGCAGAGGCTGGTAAAGCTAGCTGTTCTTGAAAGTTCTGTTGTCAGCACTCACACGGTGGCTCACAACCATCTGAAACTCCAGTTCCAGGGAACATGGTACTCTCTTCGAGCTTCCACATGCACCAATAGGTGAGGCATGTACATACATGCAGCCAAACTCACATAAAAATAAACCTTTGATAACAAAACCGTTTTTATGGAGCTGAGAAAATGGCTATGTGAGTAAGAGGGTACATATCCAAACATGAGTACTGAGTCCCAAAGAATCCCCAGACTCATATCTAGCCAGCCTAGCCCAAAGGGGAGCTTCATACTCAGTAAGAGAGATTCTGTCTTAAGGCAGTAAGGAAGAAAGCAATAAAGGAAGACATCTTTCTGTTCTGGGCTCTGTCTGTATGTACCATTGTAAGTGCTCATACCTACCCACGCACATGTATGCACCATACACACAACACACAAAACAAGTTACAAACACTTGTATGTGTTAATACCAACTCGATAAAAAAAAAAAAATGTATCTTTTGTTCCTAGGACAGAAGACTAGGCAAGATGGCAGCACATGCCTTAAGTAATCCCAGTAATTAGGAAGCTGAGGCTGGAGAACTGAGATTTGGAGACAAACCTGGGCTACACAAGGAGACCCTACCTCAAAAACTCTCTCTCGGGGGCTGGAGAGATGGCTCAGAGGTTACCATCACTGACTGCTCTTCCAGAAGACCTGAGTTCAATTCCCAGGACCCACATGGTGGCTCATGACCATCTATAATGACATCTGGTGCCCTCTTCTGGTGTGCAGGCATACATGGAAGCAGAATGTTATATACATAATAAATAAATAACATCTTTAAAAAAAAAAACTCTCTCCTACACACACGCAGGCACGCACCTTCACATCTTGTTTCCATAAGGCTAATTGGTTTTCTCATAAAAAAAAAAAGCAGTCTTAGAAGAGAATAAGAGGGCCAGGCTTGGGGGCTGGAGAGATGGCTTAGTGGTTAAGAACACTGGTTGCTCTTCCGAAGGTCCTGAGTTCAATTCCCAGCACCCACATGGTGGCTCACAACCATCTGTAGTGAAATCTGGTGCCCTCTTCTGGCCTGCAGACAGAACATTGTGTACATAATAAATAAATCTTAAAAAAAAAAAGAGGGTCAGTCTTGGTAGACCACACCTTTAATCCTGGCATTTCAGGCCTGGTCTACTGCCTCTACCAGGACAGCCAAGGCTAGACAGAGAAACCCTGAAACCCTGTCTCAACAAACAAACAAAAACTGTTATAGAGAAAGTTTTCAATGGGCTATCACAAAGCAAAGATGTATTATACATGTAGTTTTGGAGATACATATATCCTGTTGTCTCTTAAAGTCACACCTATTTTAAAAACTGCAAGGCTGAGGAGATGGCTCATCAGATAAAGGCACTTGCCACCAAACCTGACAGACAACGTGAATTTCATGTCTGACACCCATAAAAAGCAAAGCCGGATCAGACTCCTACAAATTGTCCTCTGACCTCCACATATGTACCCTGGAATATTGTGTTCTGGCACATACACATGTGCTCTATCTATCTATCAATAAATAAACAAGTAAAAATGTGAAAAAATTTTAACCTACCATCTAGAATTAACTTGTTCCAGCCCAAAGTTTTAGCTTATTTCATCAGAAGAAAGTCCATGAATTCAGAGTATTTAATAGTAATATAATTTTTGTTTTGGTTTTATGAGACACGGTTTCTCTGTGTAGCCCTGGCTATCCTGGAACTCCTTCTGTAAACCAGTCTATGCCTGAATTTACAGAGATCTGCTTGCCTCTGCGACCCAAGTACTGGGATTAAAGGCTTTCTCGATCACTACCCAGCAATAGTAATATAATTTAACATTAACTTAAAATAAAAACCAGGAATTACTTTTCAATGGGAAAGCATTTGTGGACATAAGAATGATTTCTTAGAGCAAACAGCTCATCTTCTCCCATTCCTGGTAAATTCTATGTAAGTTACAGACGAAAACATACTTCTCTGTATGCTCAGCATCTATTATGTTCATCCTCTGCTTCCAAGCAGGCACCACCACCATAAAGAACATGAATTCAAAAGGGCTTAAAGATTGCATGGGGGGGCTGGAGAGATGGCTCAGAGGTTAAGAGCACTGACTGCTCTTCCAGGGGTCTTGAGTCAATTTCCAGAAACCACATGGTGGCTCACAAACATCCCTTATGAGATCTGGTGCCCTCTTCCAGTGTGCAGATATACATGGAAGCAGAATGTTGTATACATAATAAATAAATAAATAAATAAATAAATAAATAAATAAATAAAATCTTTAAAAAAATTTGCATAGGTAGGCCAGATTACTTGGTGGACACAATAATGGCAATTTTTAGTTAAAGATTAACAGATGGGGGAAAAGAACCTTCTAACCTGTACTGTATGTTCATAAATACATTTTAAGAATTTAAACAGTATTTTGAAGTTAAAACATTTTTTTCTGAGACTCATTGCCCTGGAATTAAAGGCATGTGTCTCAGCTTTGAAGTTAAAACTTAAAAAAGGCATTTGTTATATTATCTGGAGAATTAATTTGTTTTCCCTGCACTAAGGATTCACTAGTCCTAAGTTAGGGGGCAATTGGGACAAGTTTCAGAAATGGTTAACTGAACTACAGAGCACTAACCAACCAGAGTTTTGAGTACACATCTACTTGCTACTTGTTTGAGAGTGACTGATAACTTCTAAGGTTTAATTAACTGGACACCTATTCTCTTCACTGAAACTGAGGCACTTCCATCTGTATCAGCCATTATTATACTCACCAGCAAAGTAAAACAACACAGAAAAAGTGTCACTACTTTCACACATGGTAAACAATGCTAATAACTATGATCCAATAATGCTTCTGCATAATTCTAGCAAACCTAAAGGGCAGCATGCAATCCATTTATAGTTCTAAGCATAATTCAATTATAAATGTTTTTATATATAATTTCCACCTGAATCTATACCATGTATAGTACTTCTTGTTTTGTTTTTCAAGACAGGGTTTCTCTGTTGCAGCTTTGGAGCCTGTCTTGGAACTCACAAAGATCCACCTGCATCTGCCTCCCTAGTGCTGGGATTAAAGGCGAGTGCCACCACAGCCCCACCTAACACATCTTTGTATATGATAGATGGATGTGCTTTAGCTTGGGCAGCCACCATGCCTGCACCTGAAATGCATTAGCTTCCAAATCTTCCAACCCTACAACTATGCTCCATTAATGTTATTATCTAATATTATAAACTTACACACCTATCTGGCTTTCCAACTTTCCCCAGGTCAAAGGTACTGCTTGAGAAAGAGTCATGCTTTGTCAACCTACAAGTCCATATACTTTCCCTGCTTCAATCTGGGAATCCTGTTACAACTCTCCTTGTACCTAAGGGCCCTGCCTCTTACTTTAGTGAACACCTCCATTCTATCCCATCTGTTCACAAAACCATTGCCCCTTGTCTTATCCTTATTTTTTTGTTAAAAGTTAACAGACTTCCCTCCTTCTAAATCCTGCTCTATGAATTGTTTAACATCTTCAATACACTCTGAGAACTCAGGAGGCAGAAGCAGATGGATCTCTGTAAGTTTGAGGCCAGCTTGGTCTACATAATGAGTTCTAGTTCAGTCAGGGCTATATACAGTGAGAATCCCTCTCAATAAGTAAATAAACGCATGAATGTAGCCTCAAAAAATAAAAATTAACCTTTTCAAACATCTATGTTTTCTGTTTTTTTTGAGATGGTTTCATGTAGACCAGACTGGCCTCCAACTCAAAAATGTAATCAAGGATGATTGAAACTCCTGAGCTTCCTGTATCCATCTCCCAAGTGTAAGCACCCACAGAAATTTGTGTAACACACACACACACACACACACACACACACACACACACACGAGTGCACACCCCAAAACAAGAAAAAAAAAACCTAAAACAAGAAAAAAAAACCCAAAACAAGAAAAAAAAAAAAACCAAAAACCTCACATGCATAAAAGGTCACTTTTATGGCACCTGTCTGCAATCCCAGTACTGGGAAGATAGAGACAAGACTGCCAAAAAAAAAAAAAAAAAAAACCAAAAAACAATGGAACCTAGCCTGGTCTAGTTAATAAGACCATCTCTCACACAGACAAAAAACTATTAAGGCCTGGTATATAGTGGTCCATTCTTGGGAATCTCAGTACACAGAAGCTTAGGAAGAAAGATCTCTGGGTCATCTTATTATGTATAGTATTCTGCCTGCATATATTCCTGCATTCCAGGAGAGGGCACCAAATCTCATTACAGATGGTTGTGAGTCACCATGTGGTTATGGGAATTGAACTCAGGTCCTCTGAAAGAGCAGCCAGTGCTCTTAACTGCTGAGCCATCTCTCCAGCCCCTGAGACTCTATCTTAAAAACAAACAAAAGCCATACACTAAAGTGTTAGAAATTTTGTAAGAAGAATCTATCACTTAGTAGTTTTCAATCAAAGGTTATTAGAATCTTTTTTTTTTTGCCTTTTTTTTTTTTTTTTTTTTTGGAATGGCAAGTTGCTATCTACAACCAATAAAAATTGTTTTTCCAATCCTAGAAAATCAGTTGCTAACTAGTTACTAAATGACACCACTACAGCAAGATACTAAGTAAACTAAATCCTATCACATAAGAGGGCCACAAAGCTGGGCAGTGGTGGTGTACACCTTTAATCCCAGCACTCGGGAGGCAGAGGCAGGAGGATCTCTGTGAGTCCGAGGCCAGCCTGGTCTCCAGAGCAAGTGCCAGGATAGGCTCCAAACAGAGAGACCCTGTCTCGAAAAACCAAAAAAAAACCCAAAAAACAAAACAAAACCTCCATTGGTGGCAGACTGACTTCTTTACTGACACACATAAAGGGGTCACACTAACCTTTAAGCCTACTCTTTCCCACAGCTCATAATCCCGCCCCCCTTATCCTAGATGTATCTAAACACTTCCCGGAGAGCACATCTTCGAATCTCTATCCTTCGGCTTATGCATGTGTAGTTTGCAAGTCATTTGATAAAAGAAACCACCATAAAGAAACTTGGAAAGTTCTGAGATATTATTATTTAGTAAAACTAAAATGAACAACAACAAAAACCAAACAAACCCACACAACTGAAAACTATCTCAAGCCAAATGACAATCATTAGGCTTGCCCTACCTGGATAGCACCCCTACAAGAAACCTAGAGCTTGGCTTAGTCTCATTCTCCACACTTGAGTCTTAAAAACTGAACCCCCAGCTTGAATTTGATTTGATTTGTTTATTTACTTATTTTAAAGGCACGGTCTGGGGCTGGGTGGTGGCGGCGCACACCTGTAATCCCGGCAATCGGGAGACAGAGGCAGGTGGATCCCTGTGTTCGAGGCCAGCCTGGTTTACAGAGCAAGTTCCAGTACAGCCAGGGCTATACAGAGAAACTGTCTCGAAAAAAACAAAAACACAAACAAAACTCAAAGTTACAAAGCAGGGCAAATGGAAGCACAGGATCTGACACTTTCAAGTGGCACCTCTAAGGACTTAATAACTACCTTAGTTTGGCTCTGTGACTCTGCACAAGTCATGTACCTGCATAGTCCTCAGTTTGTTCATCTATCTATAAAAGAATGCAAATGAAGCCTCAAGACTCTTGAACACCTGCCTAGTAGGTAGCCTGGGTAACCAACCTCATTGTCTCTCTGAGCTTCAACTAGCCAGCGTCATCGCTTCTTTTAACTGAAGTCTCCTGAGAAAGTATCTACTAGGAGT